ACATCATCTTCATTTTAGCGAAATGCATCACGGTATCGATAAACATATCAAGATGGCGGTCATACTATAAACTTTATATTATCGCTGTAAAACATGCTATGGAGGAACATTACAGTCAATTCTCATCTTACACACACCCCGTTATTATAGATATTCTACTATTACGGAAACCCCAGATTTACGGACAGCCTGCTATTACAGAGTCTTCTCGACATTCTACATACTCCGCTATTACAGTTCAGACATGAAACAGAGCCTAAAAATCGTGTGTAAAAGTTGTTGGACACGCAACAATTGCCTAAAAAAACGTACTATGAGAGAGACAAATCATTTGATTCACCCCTGTGCTGCAAACCTGTTCAGAAGCAATAGACAAAGTGTGTCTTGTTTTATTACTTACAAGTCAATAAATTTATCTTTACAATATGAAAATGTTACTGGTAATGTATTTTTGCACAACAAATGTTGTTCACTCAATTCTAAAATCATAGAATTTCAAAGTTAAGACTATAGAATATTAATTTAACAAAATCAAGTAGAATTTTAAATGTTCCACTGAACGGCCTGTTCAATCCACTGACTGCATTTCCTCTTCATCCTCCAATGGCAGAGAGTTGGCAGATTCTTCCACTGCATCATGGGAAGACATTCCTGGTTCCCTTTCAGCACTAAGGCCAGGAATACCAAGTTCAGGAATTCTATGTATAAAGAATCCCTTGGCCAAGTCGAAAACCCAGCCAAGTTCTCTTYTTGCTTCGTCCAGCTCCTCTTGAGTTCTTTGAGTGCCAAATAAGAAGATACTCAGAGCTTCCATGGTTTGCATTAAATCCCGCATTGTCTTCACGTTCTTTAGAACACTTGGGATATACAATCCAGGCACTAGAAATAAATGAATAAAAGAATGAGATGATGGATGAAGAGAAGGAGTCAAGTTGATTGCAAGGAAGAGGAATACATGAAAGGAGGCAATGAACATCCTCCACATACATACTTGGCTGGTTTGTTGAATGGCTGCCACTCGCTGCCTCAGTGTCCATTGGATGACGAGCTTCGTTGTGTTGTTCCTTTTCTGTTTCCTTTTGGGCTYCTCCTTCTTYTTTGGTTCTTTCATCTTTKTCYTCTTCTCCTTCGTTCTTTTTTTCTTCTTTACTTTCTTCTTCCTTTATTTCTTCTTCTTTACCATCAACATCATCATCTGCTTTGCGTACCAGGTTTTCAGATGCRGTCTCAGGTGTGGTTTCAGTAGGTTCGTTTCTCTCTACTTGACAAGACATCTGACGTTCAGTTTCATCGCTCTTTTCGGTGATTTGAGTCTCACCATTCTCCTCTTGGGKATTTTCTTCAAAATYCTTCAATCTTGTRCAGTTAACGCGAGTCATGTGGTCCGATGAGATCACGCAGCTTGCYGATTTAGGGTCAACMATGGACATTTTACGGGCTGTCTTGAGRACCCGCTTTTCTCTCTCKGCAGACGAAACATCAAATTCTCCAAACTTCCCATCRACAACCATTTTTTSGTCGTTGTTCATAGTGAATAGCTTGTAGGTTACATAGCCTACGGTAGCTAGTCCTCCAATAACAGCTCCTCCAATCAGAACCGTCTTCAAAYTAATTTTTTCAAACATTTTGAAACTATTGTTTTAGCGCACGGTGAATGCGAGTCAAAWCTAACGTAACAACGCAATTGTGACGTCACTTGATAATTAGATAATAAGGTTAATCTGACTCAGTGCGACGTCACTCGCTCGACCCAAGCCCTCTCTTTCCTTTTCAGTCGAGAATTTAACGCAAGTGAAGGAGCTGGGAGAAAGGATTTCTCAAAGTCCGGAATATATTGACTGACGCCACGTATAAATAAGCCATTTAAGCGCAGATGTTTGAACTTGGCCTGGTTTTGACTTGACCAAGGGAGCAGGATTCGTGTCACATTTTCACTACAAAATCCAAGGACTTTTTTAAATAGGAACTAGTGTTATAAGACAAAATTAGTAAATCAATATTCATGAACGTTTCTAGTAAAGTCATTCCCTAGGTTATCATTAAGTTCCACACCTGCGTTCTTGTGTTAATAGAACTTATATTATTTTGACATAATCCTGATTAGATATAAAATATGACATCTGTTTTGTAGACATCGTTTCGTTTAGCTGTTTAACGTTTACTAGTATTCCAATACATTTATCTCGGAACATAACTTAGGTTACTATTTTTATAGGTTTTCTGCACTGTCTTGCTTAGCGTTGTGTCCCTAACTAAGCCAAAGTCTAGTTACAGCTTGTGATTCTTTAGTTGTCACTTCCATTTAATTTCTTCTCTTTAATTTCTAATATTCCATTATTTAAGCTGTCAGATAAGAACTATAGGTTTGACAGTATAACGAGACTACAAGGCAGCTTATTTCAGTTTCCACATTTTCATCTAGGATATCCCCACGTGTCTAATATTACACCAATTTCAGATAGACTCCTCCCTTGTAACCCTACACCTCAATACATACCCCAAAACGCCCTTCGNATATTCATGAACGTTTCTAGTAAAGTCATTCCCTAGGTTATCATTAAGTTCCACACCTGCGTTCTTGTGTTAATAGAACTTATATTATTTTGACATAATCCTGATTAGATATAAAATATGACATCTGTTTTGTAGACATCGTTTCGTTTAGCTGTTTAACGTTTACTAGTATTCCAATACATTTATCTCGGAACATAACTTAGGTTACTATTTTTATAGGTTTTCTGCACTGTCTTGCTTAGCGTTGTGTCCCTAACTAAGCCAAAGTCTAGTTACAGCTTGTGATTCTTTAGTTGTCACTTCCATTTAATTTCTTCTCTTTAATTTCTAATATTCCATTATTTAAGCTGTCAGATAAGAACTATAGGTTTGACAGTATAACGAGACTACAAGGCAGCTTATTTCAGTTTCCACATTTTCATCTAGGATATCCCCACGTGTCTAATATTAYACCAATTTCAGATAGACTCCTCCCTTGTAACCCTACACCTCAATACATACCCCAAAACGCCCTTCGTTGGTTTGGAGCCTTGTAGCATCGTTCATTTTGTGTATCTTTATAATATAACTTGATAGAAAGTTAGTTATCTGTTAGTTAAGGAATAAAAGACGAAATTCCGTGTTTGATACTCTGATCAAAACACGCGGGATGTAGGGAGAGCACGAGAGAAGCGTAGGAAACCACGACGCGTAGCGGAGTGGTTTCCAGCTTTTCGAGTTTTTCTAAAATTAAAAGAAAAAAAGAAATTTTTGACGTGCGCGAGCGTGTTTTGATACTGTAATCAAACATGGTTTTCGACCAATCACAGCGCGCGTAGTATCCTAAATATTTTAGAAAGCTATCTTCTGTCTTAGTTTCATTTTTAAATTTAACTTAAAACTATGTCGGGGCATAGCCTTTTCTCGCTCAGCCTTAGCTGAACACCTTATTAGTAAATCAAACTCTATCCAATCGTATTGCAATGTAGCCTGCCAATTTGCTGTCACTCTGACTTGTAAAACATTCACTATATAGGTAGAATGACATCTTGTACAGGTTAGTTGGTAGCTAAACTCAGTGTATACAACATCTTTTTCAAGTTTAGTATTAAATATATTTTGATCCAGTACCGGCTCTTCCTGAGTAAATCCTACAAGTTACAAGACAAGAAYCCCTGTAACACTAGTTTATTCCTTCCTTTACGTAATTGTAATTCTTTCTATAAAAAAAAAATCTACTGCACCATGCAAGGTAAACCTTTACTGAGGTGCATCGATTTCAATAAGAGAAAAATGAGAAGAACACAGMGTACTTACAACGTAGACTTCTTGCTGCCCTTGACGTTCAATTTGATCGGAGAGATCAGCAGACTTGACTACAATTTTCTTTCCTTCTTTGCTGACYGTAGTAACTCTACTTCTGAACATCATATACGGAATCAACGATTCGGTAATTTGCTGAATGACTTGTGACGTAATAAGAAGGGCTGCAAGATGCTAAAACAGGAACAGTTTATAAATCATTGTTTGAGCTTAAATAGGATATGAAGGGTTAGTGTTTGAGCTGTAGTGTGATATGAACATTATTGGTTGACCCTTGTGAGATATGAAAAATTATTGTCTGAGGTATAGAATGATATGAAGAATTATTGGTTGAGCTGTAGTATGATATGAAGAATTAATGTTTGAACATTGTACAATATGAAGAATTATAGATCGTGGTATAGAATGATATGAAGAGTTAATGTTTGAGAGTTGTATGATATGAAGAATTATTGGCTGAACCCTGTACGATGTGAAGAATTATTGGTTGACCCTCAGTAAGATATGTCAAATTATTGGTTGAGACTAAGCATGATATGAAGACATATAAACCTACCCTTTGAAGAAGCTCAAGGTCTTGGAGATAGAAAGCGATGTAGAACAAAGAGTAGAAACAATTGACGAAATAGAACTGAAAAAAAAGCAGATACAACACTGATGTATCTGCACCAACACAGGTATTGTTCTCATTTATCTTCTTTCAATTGAGCTCTTCATAATCAAGGGCAGAAACAGGAGGTTTCACCGCSAATATCATACGTTATTCTGACCTAATTTTTCACTTTTTGATGAGACAAGTAGCAAGAAAATTATGTCGTTTTAGTAAAGTAATGAGTCTTTTTTTTATAAAAAAGGATTGCAGTTTGAAGTGTTACAAAATGGACTGCTAAATGTATTCCATTCTAAGGCGATATCTACGCCTTTTCACTTGAGACATCCCACTGAAATACTTCTGGATTYTAACTTGATAAATTAATACAGTGATAAATCACATAGAATAATTTCATGGATAGCTTACCAAAACAAGCTTTACAATAAGGTGATTCTGGAAAGATGATTCAAGACGGTGGTTTTCTGAAAGATCAATCCACTGCAAGTCAATGTGAAAGCCTCGAACTATTCCAAAATTAATAAATGTCACAGTGCAGTGTCCCCCAGCCGTTTCAATTTCACTATTCTCTTTTCACAGCCGTTTCGACGTTCGTTCTCAGGACTACTTATTACGCATGCTCCTATATGATTTCCGTGTTCGTCCCACATGGCTTAATGCCTCTTCTCATATCAACTTCATTTGTGGCATATTGCAAATTTTTCTAGATAACAGCATAGTTTCAAAGCTCAATATAGGCTAAAAACTGCGACTTAAATTCGCAACAACTGAAATAACGTCAACATAAGGCGGAGAACACGAGATACAAAAAAACCCGTCTACTTCTCGCGTAACGGTTACCATTCAAGCTTAGCTTCAGTGTTAGTTTCGTTAAATTTCATTGCCTGTTTTTTGTTGTGCGATAAGTTGGCAGTGGTCAGGCAAGGTGAAAAACAAGAAACATGGACGCAGCACTTGAAAAAAAAAAAAAGAAACGAAGATTGAATTTTGAGAAACTCACCCCATTCTGTAAGAAAGGTAGCAATAAGGTGATAGGCGTAGTTAAGTACRGCAATCATCACAGCATAAAATATACTTGGTATACTAAGCATAATAGTGGCGATAATTCCACCACTTTTGGCATATTTATCCTCCATGTAAAACTGTAGCTTGAAGTAAATCAGCATGACAACTGTTGCTACCTGGGAGAACAATTGAACCATTAACAAGACCATCTAGACACAGTGGCGGATCCAGGATTTTTCAAAGGGGGGTTCCACTTTGTTTTCGCATTTTCCTAAAACRAACTTTTTTACTGTGCCTCTCGAACTGTAGCAAAATAAATGTAGTGTGAATGTATTTAATAAAACTGCATTATACGATGCGTTTTCATTTTATTTCATTTATTTTTTTTTTATTTATTTTTTTTATGCTTGAGGGGGGTTCCTAGGAACCCATGGAACCCCCCTGGATCCGCCACTGAGACCACGATGAAATCGCAATGCCATACCTTCATGCACAGCAGTACAATAGGGTAAGAGACGCCATAAGTCTTGAGTTTTCTCTTTATTGGAGGGTAGTATTGCTCTTGTTGGCCAGTGATTGGGCTTATTCTTGGTGGTCCCCAGTAGTTCGGTCTGGGTTCCTCAATTTCATCTGAACCTAATTGAAATTCAAGGTATCAATCGTTGATAGGAAAGCATATTCAACAAACATTTGTTGTCAACTTTAATAAATACGCTACTTACCCAATCCTCCCCTGAGAGTCCCCCATGTGAATGACAGCTCTGAACATCTCCTTTTCCATGCCTCAAGAAACACTGTAGCCCACAACAAGTTCAGGACAGCAAAAACGGTATTTTTGGTCTGATCATGTGCATTTGATAGCCAGAAAGCTACCATCAACARTACAGGAGGGACTAGTGATAATGAGTAGAATCCCAGAAAACCAAAATACATTGCAATAGTTTCACCAAAATACTCCCTGATGTCATCTAGAATACATAAAAAAAATCATATCACTTTAACTGACTGCAACGAAAACATTTTTCTTTCCAATACTGTTCCTTATGCCACGTTTAAAGGTAGAAGTGCCTTTGCATCTAAGTGAGACGACCATTGAGAGTGCAATGRTAGATGGCTGTGARTAATTGTCTGTAATTTTCTATAATTGCAAGCTCGCCACTCTTCAATGCAAACACACAATTATCTTTCAAGATAGTGCAGGGAACCATGAAGGAGGCTATCAAGCCTATTTGTGAATACTGTCGGCATGCATAATGTTGAGACTCCAACTCAAACCACACATCACATTATGTTTTTAAATGCAGTTCCATTGGGGGGAATGGGAAGTGGGAGGTTTGGAGGAATGGGAAGGAGGGAGTAGGAGAGGGTAGTTCCATGGGGATGATGTATTGAGTGTTTAGAGGGGCTAGCTATAGGTGCAGTTCCTGGATGAGGATATTAAAAATAGAGTTCCAAAGGATCTAKAGGGAGTATGTACAGGAAGCAGGGGGAAGTACAGGGTACTTACAGCATTGGTTACTAACATCATGCCCTTTGGTCAGTGTAGCATTTTATTCTGTATGCAGCCTTTCCCTCCAACATTAATGTCTAAAAGAACCCCAAGTTTTAAGCAGTCATGCTGTCAAATTTTTACCTAATGGTTGCTTGACTGCTGCACCAAGAYACCACTTGTGTTCAAGTGCCTTGATTTTGTGTGCTTCATGAAGTGGATAAATTGCTGTGATAACACCTTTGGACCTCAACCTGGGGACTTTAATCCAAGCAGATTAGATTTATACTTCAAGATATCAAACACATATTAATCTTGATTGCAGAGAACAATCTTTTATTCTTGGTGGAGCAGTTTTGGAAAAAGTATTTTATGGTAGCTGGT